CTGTTAAAGGCTCTGGGTAGTAAGAAAGAGCTTCCAAATGACTGGGCTACTACAGCAACAGTAATTAGAGAGACAGGTAGGAAGGTACTTGGTGTGCCATCTGGACAGAGAATGGATGATAAGGAAACCTGGTGGTGGAATAGTGAAGTGAAGGACGTTGTCCAAAGAAAGAGGTTAGCCAAGAAGAAATATGACAGTGAGAGGACCAAAAAGAGGAGATGGGATGAAGAGCAAAGAGGGAGGTAGTTAAGGCAAAGCAGAAGGCGTACGATGAGTTGTATGGGAAGCTGGACACTTAAGAGGGCGAGAAGGACTTGTACCAATTGGCAAGACAGAGAGATCAGGCTGGAAAGGATGTGTAGCAGGTTAGGCTTGATAAAGATAGGAATGGTAATGTTCTAAAAAGTGAGGAGTGTAACAGGAAGATGGACAGAGTACTTTGAGGAGCTAATGAATGAAGAGAATGAAAGAGAAAGAAGAAAACAGTTCAAAGAAACTGTGGACCAGGAAGTGGGAAAGATTTGTGAGGGTGAAGTCCATAAAGCTCTGAAAATAATGAAGGAGAAGGCAGTAGGATCTGATGACATACCAGTGGAGGTTTGGAAATATCTTGGAGAGATGGTAGTAAGGTTTTTGACTCAAATATTCAATGGCATACTGTATATGAGGGTAAGAAAATGCCTGAGGAATGGAGAAGAAGTGCACTGGTGCCCATGTTTAAGAACAAGGATGACGCACAGAGTTGTAGCAACTACAGGGGAATTAAGTTGATGAGCCACATAATGAAGACCTGGGAGAGAGTTGTGGAATCAAGACTTAGACGAGAGGTGACCATTTGTGAGCAGCAGTATGGTTTCATGACAAGAAAGAGCACTACACATGCCATCTTTGCTTTGAGAATACTGAAGGAGAAGAACAGAGAGGGTCAGAACGAACTCCATTGGTGTCTTTGTTGATTTAGAAAGAACATGACAGGGTGCCAAGGGAGGAGGTGTGGTATTGCATGAGGAAATCTGGAGTGGCAGAGAAGTATGTTAGACTGGTACAGGACATGTATGAGGACAGCAGGATAGTGGTGAGATGTGCTGTAGGAGTGACTGATAGCTTCAAGGTGGAGGTTGAATTGTATCAAGGTTCGGCTCTGAGCCCCTTCTTGTTTGCTCTGGTGATGGACTGACTAACAGGTTAGGTCAGGCAGGAATCCCCATGGACTATGATGTTTGCAGATGTCATTGTGATCTGTGGTGAGAGCAGAGTGAGTGCCGGGTGGTCTGTTTGACTTTTCAAAGCATGCGTAGAACCTGTTGAGGGCATCAGGCAGTGATGAGTCTCTAGGGCATTGTGCACCCCTGCCTTCACAATCTGTTATACACTTAATGCCCCTCCACATGCTACATGGGTATTGTGAGGTGAATTGACCCCGGATGTGCATATGTGGCTTTGGCCCTTTTAGTACCAGCAACCAGCTATTTCCTTGTCTTTCTCAGCTCCTGTGAGTTTCCAGACCTGGAGGCTGTGTCCCTGGCTTCCAGCAGGGTGCGTACCTCTGCATTCAGCCAAGGTTTCCTGTTCAGGTTGCTCTTAACTTATCTGATGGTGGTGACATCATCAGCACATTTGTTAATGTACCCCTGGACTGAGGATGTGTATTCCTCCAGGTCTAGCTCCCCATCATTTTCAGCAGCTTCTCTGAAGACCTGCCAGTCTGTGCATGCTAAACAGTCTTTCAATATGGAGTTTCAATATTACCCAACTGTAAACTTTCTTTTGCGGTCTGGAGCGTCTCAGTGGGTGGAGGTAAGCAGGGGCCAGGAGGATGGAGATATGATCAGAGAGTCCTAGGTGGGGACGGGGTGCGGCTTAGTATGCATCTCGTGCGTTTGTGTAAACACGGTCCAGCGTGTTGATTCCTCGTGTTGGTATGGCAATATACTGATAAAATCTTGGCAGGCGGTATTTTAGATTTGCATGATTAAAGTCACCAGCGACCACGTAAAAAGCCTTGGGGTGTTTGTTTTGCAGCAAGCTAAGATTATGAAGCTCCCACAGGGCGTCTGTAGCATTAGCATATGGAGCTATGTAAACAACTGTTATGAACACCTATATGATCTTGCGGGGTAGATAATGCGGTTAACATTTCACTGTTGGCTGCTCCTTGGAGCAAGAGCGGTTTATCAGAGTACAGTTTGTGCACTAACTTTTACACACGTAAATGCATACTCCGCCTCCCCGTGACTTCCCAGTTAGTTCACTGCAGCGGTCCGCTCAAAAAAAAAAGTCCGTCATCCAGCTGGAACACGGAGTCCGGCATATTGCTGTTGAGCCACGATTCTGTGAGACAAAGCACTGCACATTTCTTCATCTCCTCTGAGGTACCCACTCTCAGACGAAGGAAATCCATTTGTTGTCCAAAGAACATACATTTGACAGAAAGAGAGAGGGTATCGGTAGTTTGCCAGCCTTAGCTTTTAGCCTTGCTAGCACCCCCGCCCGGCAACCTTGCTTCTTCAGCTGGTAGTGGCGCCTCCTCTTCCCGTTTTAAGTGCGTCTACTGAAGCTTCCAGGTAGATGACTTTAGGATCTGTATTCTGCTAAGAGATTTGAGCTTGTTGCTGATCGTTAATGAATTCCATGGTAAATCCGCTCTTATTATCAGTTCGGTTCAGCTATAATTCACACTCAAAGCATGCAGAGTCAGGTTCGAAGTCAATTTAAAAACTCCTAAGATCAGGGATCGCACCGGGAGCCTGTGAAGCTGCGGCTCCCGGTGCGTGGACATCTTGGCATCTCTCAGCTGTAGTAAGTCAGAGTACATGTGTGTGAATGAGAGGGAGGCCGGTGGAACAGTGAAGCTACAAGAAGCAGAGGTCACAAAGGTGCAGGACTTCAAGTATTTGGTGTCAACTGACCAAGAAAATGGGGAGTGTGGTAAAGATGTGAAAGAGAGAGTCTGGGCAGGATGGAGTGGATGGAGAAGAGTTTCAGGAGTGATTTGTAACAAAAGGATGTCAGCAAAGGTCAAAGGAAAAGATTACAAAACAATGAAACAAAACAGACTTTTGTCATCTGCAGAAATAGTCAGATGACTCTGCAGTGGTCGTGTGTATCAGAGATGGACAAGAAGCTGAGTACAAGAAGGGACAGAGGAGACTGTACTTGTTGAGGAAGCTGAAGACCTTCAATGTTTGCAGCAAGATGCTGCATATCTTCTATACGTTTGTTGCAGAGAACGCTATCTCTTCTGCCATCATCTGCTGGGGTAGCAGCACCAGAGCAAGTGACTTAAAAAAGATCAATAATGAAGGCTGGCTCAGTTCTGGGGACTTCTCTAGAACCTTTGGAGATGATTGTACAAAGAAGGATTCTTCATAAAATGAAGAACATTATAGACAACCCTCAGCATCCTCTTCATCAGAATGTCATACAACAACAGTGTCTTCAGTCAAAGGCTTCTTCAGATCTGCTGTAAGATAGACCGCTACAAGAGAGCCTTCCTGCCCACAGCCATCAGCATCTAGAAGAACTCTTTAATGAAACCAGGATGGTGAGTTACAACAACATTTAATTCCCCTCTGGGATTAATAAAGTAATTTTAAATTTGAATTTGAATTAAACGGTGAGACCAGCTATGTTGTATGGTCTGGAGACAGCGGCACTGACAAAAAGACAGGAGAAAGAACTGGAAGTGGCAGAAATTAAGATGTTGAGGTTCTCCTTAGGAGTGACAAGGATGGATAAGATTAGGAATGAGATCATCACAGGTACAGCACAGATTGACCATCTGGGAGATATAGTTAGAGAGGCTAGGCTGAGAAGGTTTGGACATGTTCAGAGGAGGGACAGTGGGGTGGGTATATTGGTAGAAGGATGTTAGAAATGCAGCTGCCAGGAAACAAGACAAACAAGAAGGCCATAGAGGAGATATATGGATGCAGTAAGAGGACATGGAGGTAGTTGGAGTGAGGACAGAGGATGCAGAGGACGGAGACGAAGGAAGATGACTCGCTGTGGCAACCCCTGAAGAAGGAAAAGCCGAAAGAAGAAGTATAAAGGACTACATTACCCAGAAGGCAACAGTGTACTACCCAGACGGCAAAGTTGCTTTCTGCTGGAGGGAAAGTTTTCAACCGATCTGAAAAAGTTTGGTCCTTACAGTTTTCATAGTGACTTTGGCACTCAGTGGATGCAGAGAGCCAATCAGAACTGGACCAGAACCGGACCAAGGCTGGGTAGGTCTGCCGAACCGGAACTAAGCTGGACTGGGAACCGAACTGTGAGTTCTGCAGAGCTGGTGAGTGAAAAGTCATTACTACTCATTCAACTTAAAATTTTAATTTGAGTGACTAAACGTTATCAAGTTATCTTGATTAATAAACTTGCTAAATAAACTTTTGCTTTAGTTTAGTTGATTTAAATTTATTAGTTGACTAACTGTTTTGGTATGATGTTTCAACTCAGAAATCTATGTCAGTTCTACTTCACAGATTTTCACTTATTATGGGGGGGTCCGGAAAGTAACCCCCCGTGATAAACGAGGGACTAATGTATAAGAACTTGCTTTCAGCTACAACTATACCAAATTTTAGTTCAATAAAAAATAAAAAAAAGACTGAGTTACAGCCAATTTTGTGTTTTCTGAGGTGGCCATCTTGAATCAAGATGGCTCCAAAAGTTAATCAGTGTTTTATTCCAAGACCCCTGCCCTCTAGATCATGTGACCTCACTGTGGTAGTTAAGACGCTGTTGAGTTCCATCAGTGTTTTTCAATGGGAAAAATGGTTTCTTTGTTACAAATTACGTTGCCATGGTAACTGAAAATGCCAAGTAATAGCACACATCATGGTGCCGAGCCAGTCGTAGTCCCCAACAAGCAAATGCCCAGGTACCAGTTTCTTCCTTGAAGAATGTTTCCAGCTCCTACATCAAAACAGAACTTCTCCTTTTTCCAAGACGCCCGAACCGTCTCAGAAACGCCCAATAAGCCATCTTTGGATGCCAAAATGTGTCCCATCAAGTGTTTTAAAATAAATACAGGTCTGCGCCTCTATAAGGGCACTAAACCCATTAAGTCTTTTCCCTTGTGATTTATTTAAGACAGTCCAACTCTTCCTCTCAAATAAGGCTCAGATGTCCGTTTTGATTTTGTCCAGAGAGTTGTCGATCTTTGTGAGAGTCTTTTTGATGCGTAGTGCTGTTAATCTGGCTGACGGATTCTGGTACCAGCACTCCTTCATGAGTTTAGCCAAAGAAGTTAAAGTCTAAAAAGGAAAAGGAAAAATGTGAGTGGATTTAAACATATCCTACATCTTGTAGTTTTGAATTATGTGAATAAAGTTTTAGTTGTTACTTACAGGGTCTGAAAACCATCTGTTTGGGATGTTGGGTCTCTGCTGATCCACACAAACAACCTTCTTCATATCTTCAAAGCTAGGGTCAGTTGGGACCACATCGTGAAAAGGTGGCTTGTAGTCTTCTACAATACCTACAAGCCAAGGAGAGAATGAAAAAGATTTACTTCCGAGACGACGTTATTCAGGACGAACCGTTTTTAGCAGCTCGGAATGAAGAGCAGTCACCGGCAAATCAGCAACTGGAAGTTTGATCACAGTTTCCCACCAAGACACTTAAACATCTCACTGTCCCTGACCAGCTGGTCAGTGTGAGTGTGAATTAGGCTTGTAGTAGAAAAAGTCTTTGGGGATTGAAGTGGTGCTGAAAAGCATCCCACTGATGGACAAAGCATTAAATCCATTTACTGTAATAGGTAGCACTTTTGGACTACAGGGATCTTTTTCTTAGCTTTTATGATTAGCAGTTCTTCTTGCTTATTTGTGCATCACAAGAACTGCACACAAATTTAGTTCATAGAATTGCTTTGGTCCAAACTAAAAGCTGGCCTTGAGTGAGTACAACCATCTAGTTTTAGTGATTAGACAAAATGCTGCAGCTGTAAGGTGAGTGGTTCAGACAGCACAAGTGTACAAAAATACGAGCCTGAAGACAGTATATATATATATATATATATATATATATATATATATATATATATATTAAAAAAAAAGAAACAAGAAATCCAAAAAGCATGTAAACTACAGTACAGTTTTTGTCAAGCTAATAAACCAAAGCAAACAAATCAAGCCACAATGAAGCCCAGGGTTTACAAAATCAAGATATAATGAAGTTTTTGCAGTTTTTTAAATTTTATCTGTAATCCAAATTGTACCAGTCCAAAAAAAAAAAAAGAATCTGAAGATAATTTAAAGTAAAAACTATATCAGTGGTTTGGTCTAAAAGCAGGGACACAAACGGTGCCCATTTTATTTTACTTTACTGCAGATGCTATTAAAATGAACTTTTCTGTCAAGAGCAGAAAAGCTTACACTGCATATTTCATCTTAGCTTTTGTGTTAATTCAAACTAAGCAAACTCATGGTGGCAACATATTAAACTAGAAATATGCCGAATTTCTTTTCCTGATTAAAAAAAAAAAAAAAAAAAAAAGATACTTCTGTTCAGTATTATTGCTGCAACTTATACTGTAACCAGCAGAACCATGTACTGACCGTTGCTGACTGTCCTCCTGGCGATTTCCCACAACACCAGGCCCAGGGCCCAGATGTCTACTCTTTTGTAAGACTCAAAGCAGTCCATCTGGATGGAGTCGTCAAGAACCTCAGGGGCCATGTAACGCTTTGTGCCAACTTTAGGGTTGTTGCCCACGTCCAACTCATTGGTGTCTTGGAAATGCATGACGGCCAGACCTAGAATGAAAACAAAAAATCATCATCATGAGCAACCCAATACAACATCATGAACATCCCAATACAACATCATGAACATCCCAATACAACAGGGTTATTTAATTAAAACTCAGAGGTCACTAAAATTTCCTCCTAGTAAAATGTCCAAATGAAAGTCCATCGTTTGTCTTTTATGGTCTTGCCTACCCGTATTCACATTCTAACTGTTCAAAAACTGCACTTTATAGTAAACAACTAGCTCTTTTACCATATTTAAAAGTAGTCCCAGGCAAATAAATTTAGGTCCTTTATTTCAGATTGAAACAGAAAGTTCAGAATAAAATACATCTTAAATGTGCAAACAGAGCCTAATAAGTCTTCTTTCTCTTAAATTGAAGAGGTCCAAGAATTGAAGGCTTACCCTTAAAGTAAAAAAGTTAACATCTTTAGAAAACAGAAAACAATTTTAAAAAGTGTCTCTTTTAGTATAAAAATGTGTAAACAGAGCAAGTAAACATTTCTCTTTTTTTTTTTCTTAAACCTAAAAAAAACAAACAAGTTTTCAATTAAAACACATCAGCATATTCAGAAATGGCTCTTTTAGGGGAAAAAGAATAAAGAAAACAGAACATTTAACACCTTTTCTCTTTTGATTATTCTTTATTTTACTTTTCTTGATGAGGGAAATGGTGATGGGATTGTCCTGCCACTATTAAATCTTGGTTGGAGTCAAAGCCATTCTCATGTAGGAAGCTGAGCATCAGTAACATCTGTAGACTCATCAATGGCCACAGAGATGCATCCAGCTGTGCCAGAACATCATCTGCTAATATTTATGATTTTCTGCTTGCTGTTGAAACTGACATCGGGATTTGTTTGATTTTTTTCACACATCTCGTCTTTTCGTTTTCCATCAAAAGTCTCAGCAACAGCATTAGCACTCCTTCAGGACTGTCCCGTCATTAAAATGTTTTTTTTTATGATGCTCCAAAATCCACAATACCTTGAGTGAACATTCATTTGTACGTTGCCTAAAAGTATTTGTGATGAGTAGGGTCTGTCATACTGGGCTTGCAGTTCGGTTTATTTACTGATCTCTGCTCGAACTTCAGAAGATAACGTTGCACAAAAGAGATGAAGAGCGCTTCATGTTGCCACTTTTAATTAATGCGACTGTTTCGGAGCAAACAGGTTTTGAACTGTCTGCCGGAAGAATGAACATAAATGTCTCTGTCCATTCATTTTTAAAACAGCGGTTTTCAGCATCAACTTTTCTTATTTTAGAGCACGACACGTTGTGTCTTCCTCTTTCCTCCTTCTCAACTCGTCTCCGATGAGAGCTCGCTGCACTGGCTGTGCAGGGAAAACAAAAGATTTGATTGGCTCATTAACTGAGTGACACTATTACCGTAACAAGTGAAGTAGGGTGAACCTCCGGAACACACCTCCTGCTTCTCTGCTTGGTTCTGCACCTAAGTGGTCTATCGCTGGAAAAATGCTCCATGAAAATTATCTATTTTCGTGAATTTATCAGATTGGGCACAGGTCCGGACAAAACCATCAATGGGTCCGGATCCGGACCCAGGTCCGCCTATTAGTGACCTATGCAATACAACATCATGAACATCCCAATTTAAGATTTTTTTGGGGGTTTTTTTTACCTTCATTTATACAGGTAGTCTCATTGAGTCACGAGAACTCATTTTCAAGAGAAACCTGTTTTTAGGACCAGATGGTGGGGGTTAAGGGCCTTGATCAGGGGCCCAGAGTGGGGCAAATTAGGGTGGAGGCAGGTGTGGATGTTTCACCTTTTCCACACACATTTTGATGTTGACGGTAACGGGAGTTGAACCTGCAACTTTCTGATCACAGACCCATCTTCTCTAATCTCTGCGCCACCACCCTGCACTGCACAGTGAATGCCCAGCATCATTTCTCGTACTATTTTTGAAAGGAGGGAGGCTTATGCCAGTAGTCCTAAATAGATGCACTGAAGACAACACTCTGGACTCAATCAACTAAATTAAACAACAAAACACTACTTGGTTAGAGCAAGCAGCCCCATTTCCACATACAGGATGTTCTCCAACCTAACACGCTGATGAGACAAACGACTGCTTCCATGTTTGTCGGCACAGCGAAACACGTCAGCCAGAGCAGAATTTATTCCACAGAGCTTGTAAACAGGTGAAGTCTGTCACCAGGTTCTTGCTTTTAAACCAAAATGAGATGTTATTTAAGCATTTTCAAAATGGAACATTGGTGCATTAGATGAAGTGGTTCAAGGTCTTGCAAATGTGTTTTTGGTTAAGGGCTGAGTGATCCATTTAGTATACGTTGTTTTTCTAATTTAACAACAAATACGACAGAGCAGCTGGAGAAATAAAAGTGATAATCCTGCAGATATGCCTCTAATGCAAAACAATAGGCCTTCAGATGATGTCTTTATTTGCAAAGTTTTTAACGCTCTTGTGCACGAGCTTCAAAAAGCTTTATTGAAGGTTAAACTATTAGTGTATCATTAATGAACTACTCACTTTATTAACCAATTTATGAATTTTCTTTTAATTAAACTCAACATAATTTTTATCATAACACATTTGCAACCTGTGTTAGTTGTACACAGTACATTATATATATAAATACACAATTCTTACCAAGGTCTGCAATGCAGCATTGTCCGTTCTTTTTCACCAATACGTTTTTGCTCTTGAGGTCTCGGTGCGCGATGGCCGGCTTGCCCTGTGTGCCAAAGATCTCGACGTGTAAATGTGCAAGGCCACTTGCTATGGACAGTGCCATTCGAAGGCAGCTGGACGCATCGAGGGTGCTGAGCTGAAGGTAATCATACAAGGAGCCCATTTCATGGAAGTGAGTAATGAGCCACAGCTGAGTACTGGAGTTCCTGGAAGTCATGTCGGAGGCGATGAAGCCTGCATCCAGAAACATGTTTAAATTACCAAATATTTCAGGCAAATATGAATTCTTCAGTATGTGCAAAAACTGGACACTGCAGTGAAATTAACAGTTGTAGTGAGATGCAACTGAAAATTTGTCTGAACCCTTTTAAAAACAGAAAGGAAAGGAGTTTCATACTTCCAATAAATTTACCGTAATTAGAAAATATGAACAAATCTAAAACTTGATACCTGTAACACACTTTAGGAAATGTTGAGGAAAAATGTGTTTGTCACCAAAATAAAATTAGATCTAAACAGGAACTTGGGATGAAAATTGTTTCAGTTTTGTAACAACAACCGTTTCAGTTCTTGAACACCAGACTTCAGCAGCTCATCTGTACTTTACAATGTGTAAAGTAATTTAAAAAAGAAAGCTAGTTTGGACGGTGTTCAAAGCCATTCTTTTTCAGAGTTATGTAGACTGAGGTTAATCTTAATAAATTATACACTTTGTTGAATCTTCCAAAACTTGTTTGTGTTGTTTCCTCTCTAGTTTGTTGGGATAAAATTCTGAATTACAGTAGTCCCTCGTTTATCACAGGGATTTCCATTCTCAGCTCCCCTGCGATAAGTGAAAAACTGCGAAGTAGGAAAATAGTTGTACAAGTGGTAAGTACTATATATATATATATATATATATATATATATATATATATATATATAT